AAGTTAGTAGTGAACTGCACCAGGGTAATTTCAAAAGTTCATGGAAAAATATAATTAAAAGAAAATAGGGATTTCTCCATGTAGTTTTTAAAGCACACTAGTTTCTAATTTTCCCACTAGAGATCAAAAAGGATAAGGATGTTTAAAACAATGTATGTTAAAACATACATTGTTCTAACTTGAGTTCAGCATTACAAAAATAATTGCAACAGTGAACAAACAGTTGTTTTGATGGAAGTGTGGCAAAATGGAGAATACACAAAAAGTCAGCATGTCTAACATCAACAAATCGTGTGGCCCTGGGAAACTCACATTTTATCATATCCAATTATTTTCACTTTTCTTACAAGATAGAAATACCTGGCAAAATATTCCTGAACTACCAGAAAGAAACTATGAAGATATAACACCATTGGCACATCTCTAGGGGCCAAACTGGTGATAGGCTGGATTGAGGGAGCTCAGACACTGGGAACAATGAGGGAAAACTGAAGGAATTCGGGTTTGTTCAGAGGCCACTGCAGACAGATCCTCTCAGCTATGACAGGTTATTCCTGCACCCCACAGAACATTTCAAAGCCCTTTCAGTGATTAACATTTTCTACATCCATGCCTATTCTTCTCAAACTCAGTCTACCTTTTGAAAGTTGTCCCAAGCTTTCCAATATCAACAAGTCTCAAGTAGCTACTGAATGCAGTATAATCCACCAACTTTTGTGCATTGAAAGCACTAGACTGAATAATTGCTTGGGCTGTGAAAGCTACGACTTTCTGTGACTCTTTTCCCTCTGCTCTGAAGCAGTACTGAGAGGGTTCAGGCCACCGTGACATTCTCCCAGGTGGAATTCTTATTCATATTCATAGGGCACCTGCCTTCAAACTCTGTCATAGCTCCTGTACCCCAAAGAAAACCAGAATGTCATCCCATGCCCCAAGGTACCTCCTAGAAGTCACTGTGCCTGAAAACTTGGTCTTATATCAACATCTGTAAACTCAGACCAGGAGTGCTAGGCAGGCTACCCAGTGCAGGAGGGACCAGAAACTTGATCTCCTGAAGAGACACTGAGAAACCCTACAACACAACTGCCACACATTAACAGTCTGCACACACCTCTAAGCTATTTTTCTGAAAATTTGTGGGCATTACACTAATATCAACATGCTTACGTTGCAGATGGGTAAAGTGAATATCCCATAGGTTGGTACCAGGTTCATGGATGGTGGAGCTGGAATGTGACCTCCTGCATACCTCCTAGGCTTGCTGTCTTTAGACACCCCTACCCACATCCCCCTGGCCACCTTGGACCTGAGATCCCATTCTGGGACATCTGGAACTGGCTTCTGCACACCCGCAGTGCACGCCCACCTTCCATCAGCAACGTCCTCTAAGCCATGGTGGAAAGCACAGCCCAGGCACACCTTCCCTGGCCCAGCCCAGGTCTGTGCTCGTGCCACATGTCAGGCCCTGCCTGCCCAAGGCCCACAACACTTCTGCCTCACCAAGTGCTGGGACGACTGTCCCACTCCCCAGGGCACCTGATACCCGCGGGCTCCTCTTTTACCCTCATACCCACCTTCAGTGACACACAATTCAACCCGAGGATCTAAGGAGCAGCCTGTGGACAGCGGCAGCATTCAGAATCTCCACTCAAAATATGGCGGAGTGCGTGAAGCACATGAGCACTAGAAACTGGGAAAATCCTTTCCCACAGTAGTCTCGTGAGGGTGACATCACTGAAAGGCAAAACTACATTTCCCAGATAGCAAGGTGAATGAGGAGGCACATGCACAGAAGAAACACATACAAAAAAGACTTTATTCTATAGTCCTGTGCCTGTGACTTTAATGGTCAGTGAGACTACATTTCCCAGAATAATGTGGACCCCTACATTAGGAACAAAATGAGAAGATTTTTAAAATTTTCCCTGCACAGAGTACTATTCCCGGGAGATCAGACTTTGTTAAATTGAGACTGGTCTCTACCCACGCAATACTCTAGTCTCTATTCCACAGATAAGGAATTCTGATTTTTTTATTAGATGTTGGTTTGAGAACCTGAGACATTTTGGCAGTAATGGGGAAATTCAAATGGGGGCCAGGTATAGCTGTCATGGATCCCATGTCTATTTTTAAACATGCATCTTAAGTATGAAAAAAATCATACCTCTATTTTATTTTATATGTGTTAACAAAAAATTGATGTGGTAGGCCGGCCTGTGGCTCACTCGGTAGAGTGTGGTGCTGATAACACCAAGGCCACGGGTTCGGATCCCATATAGGGATGGCCGGTTTGCTCACTGGCTGAGCGTGGTGCTGACAACACCAAGTCAAGGGTTAAGATCCCCTTACCGGTCATCTTTAAAAAAAAAAAAAAAAAATTGATGTGGTAATATTTTCTATCCATAGATTTGCTGGCTTCTATCAAGATAAATTTTTAACAAACAATACGTATATGCATAAATGCAGCATACTTGGATCTGTTTTGTGCATTGTAGGCCATGTAGCAGCATCACTGGCTTCTTACATGACCTTTTAACATCCACTTATGACAACAAAAATGTCTTCAGAAAATAGACAAATGTCTGCTGGCAGGCAATATCACCACTCATATTTAACTGTTGTTAGGTATTAAAAATGTTTAAAATAGTTTTGACCCTCATTTATTAATTCTATTTGAAAATTTGCATTCACATTACATAAATTGAGTTTTCTCTTCATCTCAAATGATCTGATATATAAAAATGAGAGTTATGTTCAAAGCTTTGACACATTGAACATATCAATGAAGATAAAGTTACTGTCACTGTTTAGTGAGAAGTCCCTGCATGGTAAGGTGTTCCATATTTATTGCATTCTTTCTCCCCACAATTTTATTTTCCCAAAAGCACACTTGAGTATAAAAGGAGAAAATACAGGTTTCTCTTCTGTGCTAATATTCTTATATTCAGGAACAGGAAAGTTCTCTCAGAAAGTTCATGAAGTCAGCACAGAGGGCTACTTGTGTAGAAACACGAAGAGATCAAACATGAAATGGCAAACCATAGTAAGCATTTCTTACATAAAGTATGATTATAAGGCTTGGGGATATAGTTGTAAAGAACTGGTTTCTTCAATTCACTCTGTCTTAAATTATGGTGGATTTCTCCCACCTATGGCTCACAGCTTCAACCTAGGAACCATCTGCCCTTCACTCCCAGAGAAGATGAGAAATCGAGACAAATGCATGAATTTTTTTTTTATTGCAGGCCTGGAAGTAATGTTTATCACCTGTCTGCATACTCTAATGAGCAAAGCTAAATGACATGGCTCAACACACAATGATTAATGGCTGAGATTGCAGGCATCTGTACAAGAGAAAAAAGGTGTTTTTTTGAAAATACATACCCAGTCTAATCCACACAGAATTTCCCTCTGTGTAAATTATCTTATGACTGCTGCAGGGTAAGTCGTTTTTACTTTACTTTTCTTTCTTATCCTTCTTATTCTATTTTTGTTTTGTTTTGTTTTCTCTGTTATTCAGTGGCTGGCCAGTACAGGGACCCATGGTGTTATCAGCACAATGCTCAAACCAACAATATGTTAACTATAGCCAGCCCTGTAACTGCTGAAAAAAGATGTTTTCACAATAATTGACCTCCTTCTATATATCAGGGTCACGAATTCAACCAAACACTTATAAAAACGCTTAAAAATCAAAAGAAAAAATAAAACTATAATACATGTAAAAAAACAACACAGTATAAAAGCTATTTACAAGGGTTTTCTACTGTACTCAGTAATATAATCTACTCAACATGAAAAGGACACACAAAAAGTGCATAGGTAATATTGAAACAGTACACCATTTATAGAAGGTGCTTGATCATTTTTAAGTGTTTACATCAACAGGGGCTCCTGGAGCCAATCTCCAATACCAAGGGATGGTTGTTCACTTATAGGGCTTCTTCTTGGTGTAAGTTCTGTGATGAAACCTGAGGTGTGATTTAAGGAAAAACCTTTTTCCAGTCATTAAATTAATTGGGATTTTCCCATGTGTGAATTTGTTCAGGTCTATTGTGGTGAGATACCGTAAACTGTTTTCTTACGTTCCTTACATTCACATGGTTTCACACCTTTGTGAATTCTCTGATGGCTGCTGAGGTGTGACTTTTGGTTAAGTTTTTCCACTTTCTCTACATTCATATGGTTTCTCTCCTGTGTGAGTTCTTTGATGAATGCTGAGGTTTGACTTTTGGGTAAAAGCTTTTCCACATTCTTTGCATTCATATGGTTTCTCATCTTTGTGAATTCTCTGATGAATGCTGAGGTATGATTTTTGGGTAAAAGCTTTTCTGCACTCCTTACATTCATATGGTTTCTCACCTGTGTGAGTTCTCTGATGAGTTCTGAGGTTTGACTTTTGGGTAAAAGCCTTCCCACAGTCTTTACATTCATATGGTTTCTCACCTGTGTGAATTCTCTCATGCCTGCTGATGTCTGACTTTTGGGTAAAAGCTTTTCCACACTCTTTACATTCATATGATTTGTCACCTGTGTGAATTCTCTGATGAATGCTGAGGAATGACTTTCGGTTAAAAGTTTTTCCACATTCTTTACATTCATATGGTTTCTCACCTGTGTGAATTCTCTGATGAATGCTGAGGAATGACTTTCGGTTAAAAGTTTTTCCACATTCTTTACATTCATATGGTTTCTCACCTGTGTGAATTCTCTGATGGCTGTTGAGGAGTGACTTCCAGGGAAAAGATTTTCCACATTCTTTACATTCATACAGTTTCTCACCTGTGTGAATTCTCTGATGGCTGCTGAGGAGTGACTTCCATGGAAAAGCTTTTCCACATATTTTACATTCATATGGTTTCTCACCTGTGTGAGTTCTCTCATGTCTGCTGAACTTTGACTTTTGGATAAAAGCTTTTCCACAGTCTTTACATTCATATGGTTTCTCACCTGTGTGAATTCTCTGATGAATGCTGAGGTATGACTTTTCACTAAAAGCTTTTCCACATACTTTACATTTATACAGTTTCTCACCTGTGTGAGTTCTCTCATGCCTGATGAGGTCTGCCTTTCGGATAAAAGCTTTTTGGGAGAAAGTTTTTCCACATTCTTTGCATTCATACGGTTTCTCTCCTGTGTGAATTCTCTGATGCATGCTGAGGCATGATTAATTAGATTCTTCTCATTAAATAGATGCACCTTACTTCACCCTATTAACTTCACCGATTTTACTTTTAGAAAAGGAACAAAGACCCCCAAATATCTAAAATGCTTTTCACCTGATTAAAAGAAAGAGATCAAACTGTTGAGAAAAATATGTCCAAAGGAAAGATTGATTTTTTTCCCTAGTGTACATGATGTGAATTCAAATAAAATGATTTTCCTAACACAACTCTCTCCTCAGCTGATGTGTTACTGTTTGTGATTACAATTTCCTGCAAACATCTTTGATGACTTTCTTGGTTCCTCTCCACTAGGTCATTATCTATCTGGGTGTCTGAAAAGAGAAAAAATAAAAAATTAATAATGGATATTGGTTTCAGGAGTTTATGGAATTTTTTCTTACTGACAACAGAATATTGTACTAATATATTTTCTACAGTTATATTATGTTTTTCTTTCCTTGTTTATATTTGAATTTTAATTTATGAGTAAATGTTAAGAATCCTTACCTTCTGCCTACTTGTAGTTTTCAACTAAGCACCTTTCATTTCTTTACACCATTTTCTCTGTTTTATTTTTATAACTATGGGTGTCTGCTGCTGCCATTTTCTCATTATTTCATTATGAAGATGGCTAGGTTTTCCTTCAGCTACTTTCAAGCAAAGAAGTGAGCCAATTTTTTATCACATATGCAGGAACATGGCTGAGGATATGGATTTTGTATTTATATTTATATTTATATGCTTTACACTCCTCACTTAGAAAATGGCTTAAAGAATGTGGAAGTTTTTCAAATAATAAAATATCCTTTTCTCCACCCTAGTTTCTCATTTAACCTGACTTCCTCTGCTTCTCATAAACAATTACAATAAAGGAAACTTGTTCTCCACCCTAGACACCCACTTCTGTTCTAAAATATTTGGTTCTGCATCCAAGGCTGTTCTCACTATCTTTGAAAAATGTCTTTTTGATGCTTTTTCAGTTCAACTTGTATTCTATTCCCAATTTCTGGTATATGGAACACCACTTGATAATTCATTTATTGTGAAAGCTTTTGTTTTGTGCATTGACATTTTGGTGGTCTTCTATTCTCACAAAAAGTCTCCTGTACATGTCACATTGTGGTTTTTTCTTCTGAATGATTTCCAAAAAGAAAACGGAAAAATGCTAACTTTGAACTCTACTCTCAAACAACAATCTTACCCCTTCAACATGGAACCCTTAGTTCACTTGGCCTTGGCACCCAGAATCTCCTGGCTTTCCTTCAAAGAGAAGGACCACTCCTTTCCATTCTTCCATGCAGGGAGATTTCTCCTCAGCTTCACGATTTCTGATGTGGTTGTACAAGGCTCACTGCTGTACCTCCTTTCCTATTTTCTTATCAACTTGCTATGTGACAGCCTGCACTATTGTGAGACTCTGTGAAGAGTCCCCACCAAAACAAAGGCCCTCACCAGATGCAACCCCTTGAACTTGGAATGCTGAGCCTTCAGAACAGACTTGTAAGAAAAAAATTTTCTCTTTATAAATTACCAGTTGTAGGCACTCTGTCAGGAACAACAGAAAACAAATAGATACAGTATGGAAAAATGTACATAAGAATTGAAGACACAAGCACAACTGAGAATGTTAAGAAAGCAAATAGGAAAAATAAATGTCAAAGAAGAGAAATGTACAAATTAGATTTTGGGTACATATAAAACATATTCAGGAAAACAAAATATTGGGATGTACATGTGACACCCCACCTTGGAGATTATGTAATACAGGCTTGCAGATGAGCCATCCTCAGGTCTTGGACTTGGGGGGAAATTGCTAGAAACAGCTGAATACTGAACATCTAATAGGCTTTACTTTTCCTGGCTTCTGCACAGTATGAGTCGACTAACCTTGCAGGATGTGGTTTGGGCATTCTTCTATTTTCCATGGCTCTGCTCCTTGTTCTAACTTGACAATCACCTCAGCTTTGTTAATGCAGTGTTCTGTTAATAGGAAGAAATGAGGGACTTTATGAAACTGCTAAGTCTGTTTCTTGGCAAGAGCTCAGCTATAGACTTTGTGCAATAAAGAGGCCAATTTGAACCTCTTGAGAGAGAGAGAGCACATTTTCAAGAAATGTAATCTTAGCATGAAACCCTATAAATGGTTCATAAATTTATGAACTAAAAAAAGAAACTGTTTCTCATGAAAGTTACTGGGGAGTTTTACTCACTCAGTGATACAAGGTTACTGTAGGTCTCCAGCATCACATCCCTATACAAAGTCCTCTGAGCATCATTCAGTTCCTGCCACTCTTCCCAGGTGAAGTCCACAGCCACATCCTCAAATGACACCAACTCCTGTAATGACACATTGTTCTCAACTCAAGTCAACATCCCTGGATCACAAAACAGAAATCTGGGAGTTCACACAACTGTGTGTGCATGTGTCATGTGTGTCTTATATAAGACTCCACTTTTTTGTACTCTATAGAATTGGAGCAAGAAAAATCAAAGGACAAATATCCTGCCACTGTAATAAGTTATTAACTACAAAAATAATATTACAAAACTTAGTTTATACCTTCAGAAATATACTTGTTGCTAGTGATAAGTGTGAATAAAATTTTTCTTTTCCAAGGAGAGCATAAACAGCCATGAAGACATAAGTATAAATACATACCTGAAATACTGTTAGGTGAACAAGTTTAAACACAAGTTCAACATAGACTGGGGTAAAAAAGAAATAGAATATATAGTTTTATTTTGTATTCAGTTTGCACTTCACTGAAATGCAAAAGATGTTCAACTCTGCCATGTGAACTGTGTGGTTTTATAAATATGAGGCAACAGCAAAAGGACAGTCTCAAGAACACAAAGAACACACTGCATGTTAATGGAACCATGCACAGCACCATGTCTGAGTGAATGATGTAAGGGTGGCATAAGGGAAAAACACAATATTGAAGAAACTGATTATACGATGATTCTGAACTTAAATATAGGATATATTTCAAACAGTAAAACATTTCATATAGTTATTGTTTTTAAATTACTTATGAATTAAAAGTGCATAAAAAAGGCATTCCAAAATTTCCATCCTATGTGCCAAAGGATTGCTCATGTCCACACCAGGTTGTACATTGCAACTTTCTAAACCACGGGGAGCAAATAATGTGGTCCTGTAAGTACATAACATTATTTGCATTTTAGTAGTAGTCACTTACAAGGAGAATGGGAAAGGCTTTTAGGGAGAGTCAGAGGGAAAGAAAACAGTGAGACAGAAGAACAACTACATTACAACATAGAAAAATAAGCACACAGAAGAGAGACTTGATGTTATGGCAAAGAAATAGCAAATGGAAAAGCAGAAACAGAATGTGGTAGTAATTTGCTGTGCAGAAATTGAAAAGAAGAGTTTTACTCTCAGGCTATTTATAACAACTACATTACAACATAGAAAAATAAGCACACAGAAGAGAGACTTGATGTTATGGCAAATAAATAGCAAATGGAAAAGCAGAAACAGAATGTGGTAGTAATTTGCTGTGCAGAAATTGAAAAGAAGAGTTTTACTCTCAGGCTATTTATATAAGCACAGTTAGTTAGGTCCTGGCACTGCAAAGCAAAGTTTGAAAAATAAGAGAAAAATATAAAGTACAAAATGAAACAGACTTGAATACATAATACTTGAAATATCTGTGGAAATGTCCAAGTGGCAACTGGATATATGATTCCAGCTTTCAGGAGACAAAGTTAATATAACAATAAAGATTTGAAAAGTATCAAAATTTCCATATTATCTGAAGACATAAGAGTGAATGAATCTAAGAGGTTGAAAGTAAAGAAAGAACAAGTACAGAATCTGCAGAAACACTGTATCTTTAAACATATGATAGAAAAGAAGAAAAAGTAGCATTACATCATAATGTAGGAGTTGGTCCTCCCACAGGACAATTAATGTGTATGTGCCTTACAACAGACCATAAAACTATGTGACACAAAACCTAATAGAACTTCAAAGAGAAATAGAATCCACCATCAAAACTGGAGATTTCAACATGCTCTATCAAACATGAATGAATACAGCATACAGAAAACCATAAAAGATATAGTTAAACTCAATAACATGATCTGGATATAACAGATATCTACAGACTACTTCTCCCCAAAACAACAGAATAGAAATTCTTCTCAAACTCACACATAAAAAAATCAGTAAGGCCATATGCAGAGCTATATAACACATTTTAGCAAAATTAAAATAATAGAAATCATACAATATGTGCTCTCAGACCACAAAAGAATTAAACAAGAAGTCTGTAGCAGAACAATGACTACAAGATTCCCTAATAGAGAGGATTAAACAATGTACTATAATACATGGGCTTAAAAAAAAAAAAGAAAAAAAAATTTTTTAAGTAAATGAAAGTGAAAATGGGGCCGACCAGTTAGCTCACTTGGTTAGAGCACAGCCTTATAATGCCAAGGTCAAGGACTTCAATTCCCATTCTGGCCAGCCACCAGAAGAAAAAAAAGTGAAAATGACTCTTAACAAAATTTGTAGGATACTGAAAGTATAGTGCTCTCAAAAAATTTTATGGCACCAAATGCATACATTTAAAAAAAAACACATCTAATATCAATAATCTAGGTTTCCACCTTTGGAAACTAGGGAAAAAGGAAAAAACAGCTAATTAAATTGAAATGAAGCAAAAGAAAAAAACTAGAACAGAAATAAAATTGAAATAAAATTGAAAAAGAAAATCTGGAGAAAAAATTAACATCTAAAAGGCTGATTCTTTAAAAAGATCAATAAAATTGATAAGCCAGTAGCCAGGCTAACTAAAAAGATAATGAACACAAGACAGAAATTACTAATATCAGAAATCAAAGACAGGACATCACTACAGACCCTATGGACATTAAACAAATAATAAATGCTATGAATAACTCTGCACACATTTGACATCCTACATGAAATAAACCAATTCCTTAAAAGACACAGTTTCCCAAAACACTCACACAGAAATACAAACTGTGAATAGGACTGTATTTATTATGAAAATTGAGTAAGCAAAAAATGACATTCAAAACAGAAAACACCTGACACAGAAGTGTTCACAGGAGAACTGAAACCAACATTTAAGCAAGAAAATATACCAACTACCTACAATCTATTGAAGAGAAGATGAAATACTTCCCAACTTATTGTGTGAGGACAGCATTACCTCAGTACCAAAAGCAGATAAAGATATTATGAGAATAGATAACAACTAACTGTTACCTCTCTCAAACATACATGCAAATGAGCTCAATAAAATATTAGCAAACCTAATTCCATAAGGTCTAAAGAGGATTATGCACCATGACCAAGTGATATTTATTCTAGGTAGGCAAAGGTGGTTCAACAAATAAAAATCAATTAATGTAATTTATAACATGAAAACACTAAAAGGCTAAAGAGGATTATGCACCATGACCAAGTGATATTTATTCTAGGTAGGCAAAGGTGGTTCAATAAATAAAAATCAATTAATGTAATTTATAACATGAAAACACTAAAAGGAAAAAAAAATCATGATCACATCAATAGATGCAGAAAAAGCATTTGAAAATATACAGCATCCATTTATCATAAAAATTCTCAGTAATCTAGGAATAGCAGGGAATATCACAATTTGTTAAAGATTATCTACAGAAAACTGCAGCTAATATCATCCATAATAGTGAGAAACTCAAAGGTTTCTCAGATAATCAGGAATGAAGCAAGAATGTATCCTCTCATCACTCCCTCAACATTGCACTAAAAGTCCTGGGTAATGCAATAACACAAGGAAATAAAATAAAAGATTTACGGACTGGGAAGGAAATAAATAAAATTGTCTTTAGTTGCAGATGATATGATTACTGTGTAAAATATCCTAGCAAGTAAATAGAAAGCTTCCTGGAATTAATAACTGATTACAGCAAGATTGCATACTACATTAATATACAAAAGTCAATCACTTTTCTATACCTCAGCAATGACCAAGTAAAACTTAAAACAAAAAACACAATATTATTTACATTAGCAACTAAAAAAGAAAAGTTGAAAATCATCTACCTCAGAAGAAATTAACATCAAGAATATATTTTAAAAATGCCTACAAATGAGCAACAAAACAAATAAGCTGATTAAAAATGAGCAAATGGCTTCAACAGACATTTCCACAAAGATGATGTTGTGAGGTTGTTGCCCAGGAAAAGAACCAAACACTTAATTAAGAATTTTAACAGAGTCTTTATTAGCCAGCCAGCCAGCAATTGCCTCCCCTAGGTATTTTGGGAGAACATCATCTTGCCTTGGTCTGCTGTAGCTTGCAAAAGCAAAAACCACATCCTGTTGGCACACAGGTTTGTCCAGGTGCACAAAGCAAGCTAGGACACAGAAGCCAAAAATGAGCAGTTAAAGCAATCAGGCATAAAATTTTCATTGTGTATGGTTTCTGTTTCTATGCAATGGTTTCTGTTTTCAATGGTTTCTCATGCGGGGGGGGGATAGTCTGTTATAGTTCCCATTTCTATGAGGTCAGTGGTTTCTCATGCGGTGGGGGTTTAGCCTGTGTCAATCTTAGTATTGTTCAGGGTCCTCTGTTACATTCCCCACTGGTTTTATGTACATGAGTCAAATCTTAGATTCATTTGTGTTTAATCTGTTATAGTGGGTTCTTAAAACCATTAACTTTACTGATTGGATTCTCTGTTTAACATACTTAGAAAGGCAGGTGAGGGCACAAGGGCCTATCATGAAGAATAGCAGAATTAAAAGCAAGGGACTGGCTAAGGCGGTAAGGAGAGTTGTTAGCCAGGGAGACCAGGAGAATAAGGTTTCATACCAGTTGTGGCCTTTGTAGAAAGGCAGGTGAGGGCACAAGGGCCTATCATGAAGAATAGCAGAATTAAAAGCAAGGGACCGGCTAAGGCGGTAAGGAGAGTTGTTAGCCAGGGAGACCAGGAGAATAAGGTTTCATACCAGTTGTGGCCTTTGTTTTTTAATTCTTCTCTTTCTTTTAACTTATTTCTGATTAGAGAGAGGCTGTCTCTTATTACTCCTGAGTGATTACTATAGAAACAAGTTTCTCCTAAAGCTACACATAATCCACTTTGTTTTAGGAATAAGAGCTCTATGCCCTGTCTGTTTTGTAATAACACTTCAGCTAGGGAATCTAAAGAGGTTTCCAGTCTGCTAACAAATTTTTCCAGTTCACCTAGGTCTAGGTCAATTTGTTGACCTAGAGGTCTAAAGTTTTGATTACTTGTTATTAGAGCTGTGGTTCCCATAGCTGTGGATCCAGCTATGCCTAAACCTATGAATAAGA